CTAGAATTCATTTGTGACTCCATCTGACCCTAGGCATTCTTTCTTAGTGAATTCATTGATAGCTTGTTCAATTTCTTTCCCCAAAATAGGCTTGAATATTTTATTTCCTCTTCTGTTAAAAGGGCAATTAATACTTTTGTAAATATCCATCTATTTTATTTAGATTGTCAGATTTATTGACATACAATTGGCCAAAGTAGTTCCTAATTATTTCTTTTATTTCCTCCTCATTGGTGGAGAATTTACTCTTCTAATTTATAATACTGGATATTGGGGGGTTTAATCAAATTAACTAATGGTTTTTATCTATTTTACTGATTTTTCATAAAACCGACTGTTAGTTTTACTTATTAGTTCAATTTTTTCCTACTTTAAGTTTTATTAATTTCTCCTTTGACTTTCAGGATTTCTAATTTATTGTCCAATTGGGGATTTTTAAATTTGTTCTTTTTGTAGTTTTTTTTAGCTGTATGCCCAATTCATTAGACCACTCTTTCTCTATTTTACTGATGTAAGAATTTAGATACATAAAATTTCCCCTAAGTACTGCTGTGGTTGCATCCCATAAACTTTGCTGTGCTGTCTCACTGTGGTCATTCTCTTGAATGAAATCATTGATTGTTTCTAGAATTTGTTCTTTGACCCACTTATTAGATTATTTAGTTTCCAATTAATTTCTAATTTATCCTTCCACTGCCCTTTGTGGAATGTAACTTTCATTGCATTGTGGCCCAAAAAGAATGCACTAACTACTTCTGTTGTTCTGCATTTGACTGTGAGTTTTTTAATGTCCCAATACATGGTCAATTTTTTGTAGGTGTCATATAACATTAACCTGAGAGTTCTAGAATTTAGTTATAATATTAATAGTAGTTTTCATTTTGGAGACTGATGGATTCCTTCAATGACTATTTTACCCTCTGGTTCTAGGATATCAGGGCAGTTTTCCTTGATAATTTTTGAAAGATACTGTGCAGAGTCTTTTTTTATAATGGCTTTCAGGTAGTCCAATAATTCTTAAATTATCTCTCTTGTATATATTTTCTGGGTCAGTTGTTTTTCCAATTAGATATTTTACATTTTGTTCTATTTTTTTCATTCTTTTATTTTTGTTTGATGATTCTTGATGTGTCATAGAGTCATTAGCCTCCACATGCTCAAACCTAATTTTTAAGGAATTATTATCTTCAGTTAGCTTTTGTGACAAATTTTCCATTTTTATCAGTGATGGCATGCTCAGAAAATTTGCAGATAAAATGTTGGGAGAGATAGCTAACAGGATGGATACGGGAATTCATTAACAAGTTAGCCAATAAATGAACTTTTATTGAACACTTATGTGCCAGGCACCCATTAAGCTCTGGGGACACAAATAACATAAAAAAATAGATTCTGCTCCCAAGGTGCTCACATTCTAATAAATCTAATGTGTCAATAACTACATAAATATAAGATCTATACATATATACTCAAAAATCTCAATTAATCCAACCATTCCCTCTAGCTATCATCCCATTTCTCTCCTGTCTTTTGTGGTTAACCTTTTGAGAAGACCATCTACAATGGGTGCCTCCATCTCCTTCTTCTCACTCTCCTATTAACTCTCTACAGTCTGGCTTGCAGTTTCCCCGTTCAAACAAAACTGTTCTCTCCAAAGTTACTAATGATCTCTTAATAGCCAAATACAATGGCCTTTTCTTAATTCTTATCCTGTTTGAACTCTCTGCAGCCTTTGACACTGTCAATCAGTCTCTTCTCCTTGACATTCTCTTCTTTCCAGGTTTTCCTGATTCTACTCTTTCCTTATTCTCCTACTTATTTGATGATTCCTTCTTAATCTTTTTTACTCAATCTTCATCCATATCATACCCACTAACTACAAGTGTCCCACAAGACTCTGTCTTGAGCACCTTCTTCTCATTTCTTTATACTATTTCACTAGATGATCTTATTAGCTTCTATGGTTTCAAATATCCTCCCATTACTAGTGATAATCATATCTCCTTATCCAACTTAACTTCTTTCCTGATCTCCAAAATCCCATCATCAGTTATCTACTGGACATCTCAAACTAGATATCCTATAGACATCTTTAACTTGACGTGTTCAAAACTGAACTTATTTTTCCCACTAATTCTTGACTCTTCATAACTTATCTATTATTTTTGGGGGCTACCATCATTCTTCCACTTACTCAGGTATGTAACTTAGTTGTCAACCTCAGGTCCTCAATCTTTCTTTTACTTTCCCATATCCAGTCTATTGCCAAGGGCTGTTGATTTTACCATTGTCACATCTTTCTCATGTGTCACCATGCCCCTACCCCAAGTCAATAAACTCCAGTGGCTCTCTATCATCTCCAGGATCAAACATAATCCTCTGTTTGGCATTCAAAGCCCTTTATAACCTGTCCCCAAATATACACACTTTGCCAAATTTCTTATATCTCACACCTTACGTCAGGCGCTGTAATACAGGAACACTGGCCTTCTTGTTAGTGTTCATTGAATAAGACGGTCCATATCCAGACTCCAGATAGTTTCACTGGCTGCTCCACTTGCCTGGAATTCTCTCTTCTTTTCTCTACCTCCTGGCTTCTTTTAAGTTCAAATAAAATCCTACTTTCTACAGGAAAGCTTTCCAGATCCTTCTCAATTCTAGGGTTTTTCTCTGCTGATTATTTCCAATTTTTCCTATATATAGCTTATTTATACACAGTTGTTTTCATGTGGTCTCCTTTATTAGACCGTGAGTTCCTTGAAAGAAAGGATTGTCTTTTGCCTTCCTTTGGAGTGCTTAGCACAGTGGCTGAGCACTTAATAAATGTTTATCAACTAAATTTCTCAGTGTTTCTTTTAGGAACAATTTCCCTTTAAACATTCATGTTTATTTATGGTTTGACAAGTAAGTGTTCTTGCAACTGTGTCAAGAAAGAGAAACTATTGGTGGCTACAAAGGAATAGACGTGGTATATTTGTAAGATAGCTGCAAGATGGCAAAATATAAGAGGATATGCTATTTTATCATAAGTTAACAGGGCATACAACTGCAGAAGATATATTTAACTTAAATAATTCATAATGATAAATTTGAAAGAAAATAAATCAAAAGGTCTTCTTGTGGAACTTACACAGATGAAGCAAAATCAGTGACTGGGAAACTTGGGGATGTTGTTTGGTATGTTAAAAAGTTAACACAAATATAACATGCTGCAATATAAACCACCATATTTCAACATCAAAGAGAATGCCACAACTTAAAATGTATTAGATAATGCTTTCAAAATAATTAATTTCATAAAATCAAGACTAACTCTTAATTGTTTACCATTTTATGCAGAGAGATGTGCATCAAGCATGATGCACTTCAAACACACACAGATGTTAGATGCCTTCCTTATGGGGAAGTTTTTACTCATCTAATTGAATAGAGAAAAGAGTTAGTTGCAATATTTAGCAGACATTTCTTCAAAAACTAATGAACTCAACACACCATTGCAGCATAAGAATACAAATATGTTCAATGTTCAAGATAGAGTAAAAACTGTGATTAAGAAACAAAAATTTTGGTACTATAAAATTGAGAACAATACTGAGTGCTTTGTGACATCACATAATTTCTTATTAGAGACTGAACTGCCTTTGCATCAGCTTATCAAAAAAGATATCAGTAATCATCTGAAATTTTAAAAAGTGACTTTCTTTTTTTTAATTGATTTATTTATTTTTAGTTTTCAACATGCACTTCCATAAGCTTTTGAGTTTTAAATTTTATCCTTCTCCCTCCCCTACCCCAAGTCAGCATGCAATCTGATATAGTCTCTACATATACATTCTTATTAAACAGGTTTTCACATTAATCATGTTGTAAAGAAGAATTAGAATGAATTGGGAGGAGCCACAAGAAAGAAGAAACAAAACAACAACAACAACAACAAAGGAGCAAATAGTATGCTTCAATTTGCATTCAGACTCCCCATAGTTCTTTCTCTGGATGTGGATGACATTTTCCATCATAAGTCTTTTGAAATTGTTCTAGATCCTTGCATTGCAGAGCTATAAAAGTAACTTTCAATAAAAAAATTTCCTAATTATTCCATGAATTTAAATTGGATTTGCAACCTATAGATTATCTTTTTCACGTCTCAGGCTAATGAATTGATGATGGATGAAAAAGAAAATTGTACTGACATAACAATGGATTTTAGACTACAATCATTCAAAACTGATTGTCTTATAAATCATTGGCTAAAAGTAAAATAAATTTTCATTACTCAGCAATAGAGCTTGTGAAGTTATCCTACCATTTTCTACCAAATGTTTGTGTGAGAAAGCATTTTCATTTCATTCTTGTTATAATTAAAAATAAAGGAATAAAATAAATGTAGAACCAAACTTAAAATGGTGCTTTCCTGATGGTGAGCCAAATATTACAAACCTTTGTTCAAATAAATAAAATTCAAGTTTATACATGATTGTTACATTATGGTAAACATTTTCCAAGTTGTCACTTATTACATTTAAAATGTTACCTTTATGCAACAAAAATATGAAAAAAAAATAATCTGAAGTCTTGCAGATCATAGCAAGCATCTCAAGTCTCACTGAATTACTACTTTTAACTCTTACAGAATATCCTGTATGTGAAAGATGACAAGAAGACCACCAGAGTATTCCTCTGGCATTCTCCAAATTTCAGGAGGAAGGAAGACCTCCAAAGTGCAGGCTGGAGACTCCTTATGGTGAACTCAAGGGAGGACAAGAGGGAAGCAGTGTGGTCAGGCATAGACAGACATCAATAGGGTCTCACTGGAAGTCAGACACTCCTACATCCATGAGGTCACAGATTCATTTGAATATATGAGTATGGGAATAATGAACGAGGAAAATGTTTAATTTCTATCCAGACTTCAATAGGACGAAAATTTTGAGATCAGAGGATATGTTATGCCTCAGTTCTCAGTAAGTCTTTACTTTGTATGGGAGAGAGAGGTATGTATCTTAGATAGGAGATGACATCCTCTTTTCATTCCAGAAGGTTTTAAGCAGAAGAAGAAGCTTCGTGAATGCCCCTTCCAGCTGGGAGTTGCCAAGGATAAGGATGAAGGGATGAACAGACGAGCACAGGTAATGCACAATTTGCCATGGCCAGTACCAGGTACACTCAAATCCACAAAAGGCAACAACATCAATAATCAAAGAAAGAAAAGAAACAGCATAAAGGACTAGGAAGGAGACCAGAGACTTCAGAGCTTTGGTGTGAGCCTCAGTACTAGGACCCTGGATACTGTAGGCACTTTGTTGCATTTTCCAGGAATGTCTCTGCAGAGAAGTAATCAGCAGAACTGTTGAGACTACAAACATAGAACAGGGGATAGACAAAGTAATGAGCTTCAAAGGGAAAAAATAGTGGATTTCTCGTTTCCTAGTGAAGCCAGAGAAGGTTATGTTCTCAGAGAATGTTCCCTGCAAGAATGCCTGGTACAAAGCATTGTTTCCCAAAAACCCCAGTATGGAGACAATGAAAGAGATTAGCAAAGAGACTAGTAGGAACCAGGGTACCAGTACCTTGACTCTCCACTTCAGCCAAAGGAAAATGGGGTGAGTGAAGTTTGCAGTCTTCACACAAAAGAGGACACTAAGCCAAGTGGCAAACCAGAATGTGGCTGAATTCAGAAAATCCCAGTAAATCCCAAAGTACTGGTGGGCAGGCTCCTTGGAATATTGTAGGTGGCGATGAAAATAGTAAAAGTTGTGTGTCATTCCAACCCACAGCATGCAGAAGCAGGAGGACCCCAAACTGATCAGGATCATGTCACAGGGAGACAGCCGGTGGCAACGAACCCACTCCCTTACCAGTACAACAACAATGAAGCCATTAGCCATGATCCCCAGGAAGCACAACAGAACTAAGAGAACCATAGCAAAGATTGTAAATGGTCCCCACATTTCAGTCACTCCTACAATGACAGATCTTGCTTAGGTCCCTACTGGCCTCTGATTCATAGAGCTCCTGCTTTGCTTGAGGAGATGTGCAGGGAGAATGCTCTACCGTTTCTCTCCAAGCCACAGTAGAATTAGAGAACACTGTGAAGTTGGGGAGGAAAGACCTATGCAACTTTGTGTGTATGCAAATCTCCACCAGCCTCAGTTACCTCTTTCCTTTTCAGCTGCATATGATTTACATACCTTGCCTGGATCAGTGAAAATAATTTCTCTGGGCTCCTATCATGGAAACTAAGCATTTCTATAGTAATATCATAGACCAAGAGCTAAAAAGATCTTTAGGGGCCATCTAGTCCAATCCTTAGTGTAGGATGTGTTCAGGGAAGGCTAGTACATCTGGTGTGAAGGCTGCTAAGCTCTTTTCAGAGCTCCTTTCCACCTTTAGTGTCCACCTGTTCCACCTAAATTTCACCTGTGGCTCCAAGAAGCTGCAGCATGTGCAGTGGCCACACCCTGGTAAACTGTTTTAGCAAATGGCAACCTAAACCAGGTTGAGGGTAACTGAGGAGTCTCAAACCAGTTTGTGAGTTAGGGGCATATCTCCCCCAAACATGTGAAGAATCCCCCTGGTAGAATGGGCACATGAGAACAATCTGTTCCAATGGCCATGAAGGCAGCCAAAACAGGTGCTGTGGAGATCTTAGAACTTGGTTAGACATCAAAGATGCCAAGGTCATTCACTGAATCTTGAGCCATCACCAGTAGTCTTGATTCTGTCACGCCATAGAACTAAGATGCATCTGAAGGAGAGAGTGAGACCAATGATTTAGTGCAACTCTGACTCACTTAAATCCAACTTACTCATGAATCAAAAGACATCACCTGTACCATTTTACCTATCTCAAAGTCCTGTTGTGACAGGCAAGTAATGAAGCAGCAGGCACAGATACATTGGAAGCTGTAGTCACAATCCTGCACACAGGCAGCCCAGGCCATGGGGTCATCTTCTCATTGGAAGCAGCAGTGGGTGTCTGAGCAGCCTTTTAAGAATCACATTGCTCACCTCCTGGTGTGAAGAAAGGGCTAAAGAAGGTGCCCTAAAAATTGCCTGCTTACCCAACCCTGGCCTGATCGCCATGGCAGGTGGGGATCCCACTCTGAGGTTGAAACATATAAAAATGTACAAAAACATCTGCAAAGATGATTCCACTCACCATCAGCACATGGAATGTGCACAAACTTATAGACAATACAAAATCCAGTAGACCTGAAAGACAAAGAGCTCTTCTTGCAAAACAACTCAGAAAGTATCACATCCAAATAGCAACCCTGAGTGAAATAAGGCTGGCAAATGAAGGCCAAGTTGGAGCTGGATACACATTTTCTGTAGTGGCCACAGTGAAGGGGTGCCACGTTGTTGGGTGTAGGTTTCACAATCAACACTAATCTAGTCAACAGGCTTGTATGCCTACCAAAAGAAGTAAATGACAGGCTCATGACAATGCAATTGCCACTTGCAGGAAAACATCACACTACCATCATCAATGCCTATGCTCCCACCATGACCTGATGAGGTCAAAGAAAATTTTTATGAAGGCCTGGAGACCCTTATTGTCAATGTGCCAAAAGAGGACAAGCTTATAATTCTGGGTGACTTTAATGCTAGAGTAGGCACAGACTACCAGACTTGGCAATGAGTCCTAGTGAGGAATGGAGTTGGAAACAGCAACAGCAATGGTCAGTTACTACTGACCTTCTCATCACCACCATTGTCTTCCATTTACCTAAATGCAATAAAACTTCGTGGATGCACTCTTACAGAAACATTGGCATTTAATAGACTATGTAATTATAAGGGGAAGAGACAGATAGTATGTGAGTGTAGCAAAGGCAATGTGTGGTGCAGCGTGCTGGACTGATCATAGACTTATCCTCTTGAAGCTAAATATTCACATTCAACAAAAGTGGCACCCCCAAGGCAGAATGACTACCAAAAGAATTAACATCAACAAATCAGAGCTCTTCTCTGAGTGGGAACAGTTTGTTACTAACTAGGAGGGAAAGTTGAACCAGCACACAGTTGGCAACAGTGGACCAGAAAAGGAGTGGGCAGCTTTCAGGGATTTGCTCATCTGCACTGCATTTACTCATCTAAGTCAGAATACATGCAAACATCAAGACTGGTTTGATGAAAATGATGGGGAAATTCAGAGCTTCTAAATGAAAAATGAGAACACCACAGGGTTTACCTGCTTGATAGTTCATCCATCTCTAAGAAGTCAGTATTTAATTCCATCAAAAGCAAAGTACAAGCAAAGCTTAGAGGGATGCAGGACTCTTGGCTCAGTAAGAAGGCAGATGAAGTTCAGTTTTATGCTGATAGTAACAATCCAAAGAGCTTTTATGATGACCTGAAGGCTATTTATGGGCCAAAGATTTATGATACACCTCAACTACTCAGTTTTAATGGAGCCACATTAATTAGTGATAAGGACATGATATTAGAGAGATGGGCAGAACACTTCCACAGTGTTCTCAAAAGACCACCATAAATCAATGCTGAGGCCAATGACCATTTACGTCAAGTCAAAGTCAATCCACCCCCACCCCCAGCTTAAGTTCCAAGTGAAGAACTGGTTTTGAATGCCTTTAGGGTTCTTTCATGTGACAAAACACCTGGCATTAATTCTATTTCAGGTGAGATTTACAAGGGAGAGGGTCCATTGCTCATACAAAAGCTGACTGAAATTTTCCAGGTTATATGGCAAGAGGAGGTTATCCCCCAGGAGTTAAAGGATGCCTCCATTTTCCATCTCTACAAAGGTAAATGAAGTAGATTGTCCTGTAACAATCACTGGGGGGTCTATCTCTTAATCAATGATGGCAAGATTCTTGCTAGAGTCCTCCTTATTAGGCTGATCCTTCATCTAGAAGATAGTGATCTACCTGAGAGCCAGAGTGGCTACAGGAAGGTCTGAGGAACAGTTCATATGGTGTTTGCTGCCTGACAACCTCAGGAGAAATTCTAGGAGCAGATCTTACCAATGCCTTTGATACTGTCAGTCATGAAGGTTTATGGAAAATTGTCAAAATTTGGTTGCCCAGAGAAGTTCATCAGCATTGTACATCAATTTCATGATGGTATGCTTGCATGGGTTCTGGATAATGGACAATACTCTCATGCTTTCCCGCTCACCAATGGAGTGAAATAAGACTGTTTGCTTGCTCCCACAATTTTTAGCATGATATTTTCAGCCATATTATCAAATGTTTTCGATGAGGATGAACACTGCATCAAGGACAGCTATATTACTGATGGTAAATGCTTCAACTTGAAAAAGCTACAAGCCAAGACCAAAGTGCAATGAATGTTGGTGCATAATTTTATGTTTGCAGATGATTGTGTACTCGATGCAGCCTCTGAAACTGAGAAGCAACAAAGTATTGATCAATTCTCTGCTGCTTGTTCTAATTTTGGCCTAACAATTAACACCAAGGAAACACAGGTGCTCCATTAGCCATCACCACATCATCTATACACAGAACCATCAGTTACAGCAAATGGAGAAGTTTTAAATGCTGTGGACAAATTCACTTACTTTCCAGGATGTAATGTACTTTCCAGGATGGACACATTGATAATGAGGACATGGAGACATTGCCAGAGCTAGCTCAGTGTTTTTGAGGCTCTGAAGGAAAGTGTGGGAGAGAAGAGGTATTAGACTGACTACCAAACTGAAGGTCTACAGGGCTGTTGTGCTGACCTCATTGTTGCATGCCTGTGAAACCTGGACAGTATACCAGAACCATGCTGGGAAACTGAATCTCTTTCATTTGAATTGTCTTAGGAAGATTCTGAAGATCACCTGGCAGGATAAGATACCAGTCACTGAGGTCCTTTCTTGAACTAAACAACCAAGCATTCAAATTCTACTTCAGAGAGTACAACTCTGATGGGCTGGCCACATGGGTCAAATGCAAAACATACACTTGCCGAAAGGACTGTTTTATGGAGAACTCACACAGGGCAAGTGTTCACATGGTGGTCAGAAGAAGCAATACAAGGACACTCTCAAAGTCTCCTTTAAGAATTTTGGAATTGATTGTATGACATGGGAGATAAGTGGCACAGGACCACTCAGTATGGCGTACCCATATCAGAGAAGGTACTGTGCTCTATGAGCAAAACAGAAGTGAAATAGCTCAAAAGAAATGCAAGATGCACAAATTTAGAGAATGCACCTCAAATGTTCATATGGACTATTTGTACCTGACCTGTGGTAGAACATTCCTAGCTTGTACTGGTCTGATCAGCCACAGTCGGACACACTGTAACTTGACTTGAGAATAGTAATGTCATTTTGGTCCTCTTCAAGAATGAAGAAAAACAACCAACGAAGTACAATTCCCCAAATCTGTGAATGAAAAGATTGAGGGCCAGCAAGCTTGTGACTTGCCTAAGGTCACACAAGTATGAAGCATCATGGGTGAGATCTGAACCTCTGTCTTCTAATTTGAGAGTTAGTGTTCCTTTCACTGTACCAAGCTGTCTCCCAGCCCTATTATCTGAAAACACAACTATTCCTCCAGTTGACCTGCCAACACTTGGAGTATATGGCTTGTGATGCACTGTCATTATAGATGAGGGAAAGAGAAAGAAGAATTAACTTTTTGTGACCATATGTACAAACTGTTCTTTTTTAGAGATAAACACTCCTCTAGGAGTGGCCTTTAACTAATGATAGACAAACAAGGAAGAGAGCACAAATTATAATAATAATAATTTCAGTTTTGAAAATGAATGAGGAATTCAAGTTGATCCAGAAAGAAGCATAGAAAGGAGGTGCTCTAGAAAGGATGGCAAACTTCTAACAAGAAGATAATTGGAATCTGCCAAAGACCCTTACAGAGAATAAAATGAACAAGCCAGGCATCCATTCAGCAGACCCCTGGAGGGTTAAAGCCAAGAACACAACTAGCCATAACAACCAGCTAGTAAAATT